AAGAGCACACACACACACACACACACGCTGCTCATGGACAGTAAGCATAAGAGCGTGCACACACACACACACACACACACGCTCTTCATGGCCAGTAAGCGTAAGAGCGCACACACACACACACACACACATGCTGTTCATGGGCAGTAAGCATAAGAACACACACACACACACACACACGCACACACAGGCTCTTCATGGCCAGTTAGCATAAGAGCGCGCGCACACACACACACACACACACACACACACACACACACACACACACACACACACACTGTTCATGGCCAGTAAGCATAAGAGCACACACACACACACACACACGCTGCTCATGGACAGCACACACACACACACACACACACACACACACACACACGCTCTTCATGGCCAGTAAGCATAAGAGCAGGGTCAGGAAGAGGAAAACGCAAACATTTTACTCTTAGGTGAAATTAGACATCGTAATAGCTAAGTGGCATTTACAGCCTGAAACTTGGAACTTCTTTAAATTTTTCTCAAAATTTACCGTTTCCTCACCACCTTCTCATGGAACCTGCTTCAAATACCAGCATTCAGGATGAATAAAAAATTTGAATAAGAAGTCATGTAAAATTTCTTTTTGCTGTGGAATTTTTAATTGCAAAGGACAGTATCTCAGCTGCATTGTGGTTTACAAAACTTTGGCCAGCCAAAGTCTTTTTTTTTCTTTTTTTTTTTTTCTGGTAAAGCATTTTTCTCTAAAATATAACAAAAGGGTATCTTGCAGTCCACTTGAAGAATTCTTCAAGAATATATAAAATATTGTGTAGTTACTTTTAGTATATTTGAAAAGTAACTGAAGTAGCTGAAGGGAGCACGGGCTCCCAGAGCATCATGAAACCTGGTTTGAGAAAACAAACTGTATTTAGTCACATGTGAGATGTGAAGTGAAGGGTCAGAAGACAGCTCCAAGATTCCCCAGAAGGGAGAAGGGGGCCCCAGAGACACAGGGGGGCAGTAAAGGAGCCCAGCAGAGCTGGACAGATACAGGTGGCCTTTGCACCTGGCCAGAGCACAGAGGACATCAAAGACCATCAGAGGTGTATGTGCACTCCAAGTGGGGCTGACTCCTCCTGGGGCCACAGCTATCCCCACTTCCTCGCCCACCCTGAGATGCCCCAGCAGAGGACTCATCAGGGCTGCCGCATGGGCTCTGCAGCTTGGGGAGAGGAAGGGTGCAGAAAATCAAGAAGAGAGCAGCCACCCAGATGAGGCATGGAAACGTCTATCTTTTTCTACTTAAGACAAAATAACATTTTTCTTATTGGAAAAGCAATCCATGCTGATTGCAGAAGAAAAAACAAAGAAGATACAGAAAAAATAAACAAATGGGAACATCATAGTCCTGGTGTGTTGGTAGGAAGAGAGGAGACTGCCCCCCCAGCCCCACCCTCCCCACCTTCTCTCACCCACCCCTGCAACATGCACACATCCTCCTATAAATTCTTGACTTATTTGGCTATGGGTACAGAACCCAGAGGAGTGAGGTGGCCACCCAGGACGGGAGAGTCCCAGTGAGATCTTTACAGGCCTCCCCGGTCCCTCCAGGGAGCACTGCTGTTCTCTGCACAGGTAGGGGCAGAGACTTGAGAAAGAAGGCAAACGTTTGCTACTCCATACTCCTGTTAACACCACCATTCTGAAAAAGAGCTACCCTGTCTCTACACTTCCATTTGAGGGCCTGTTTAGAAACCTGGAGTTCTCCTGGTTCTTGATCCTGATTCAGGAACCTATTGGAGGTAGGGGTAATGGCAGAGTCCATGCCCAAATGTCCCTGAAGGGCACCTCTGCCTACCTGCCTACACCCAGCACCTCTCCACCTGGAAATAATCATATAGACTATGATGAATATATATCTCTCCATATATATCTAGCGAGAGAGAATATATAATAAATCTGTATCCAACATTTTAAATTTCTTCTTTGTTTTACAAAAAGGGGACAATCGCCTGAGTCCCTTCTTGTTGATACTTTTGCTGGAAACAGTGAGTTTAAAAACAAAGGCCGTGCCAGGAGATTTTTGGATGCTCTGAAAATGCACTGAATCATTCTACTATGCCTTTCACAAGGCTTACCATGCCTTGTACATGGTAGGGGGCTCAATAAATACTTGTGGACTCAAAACGCATGGAATAAAAAACCACATTCTCTTTGTTCACACGTGTGTCTACATGTGCTGGCCCTGTGCTGGCTGTTTAAGATGCCAGGAGAGTAAGGCCTGGTGCCCACATGAAGCTCATGGTTTTGCTCATTGGGGTTAAAAGACATATGTAAGGCATTTTCCTGTGGGACAGCTTAGCTTGATGCTATGGGCAGAATTGAGGCCCCAGTCCTGGAGTTCTGTAATGGAGAGATTCAGAAACTGCCTTAGGAGTTTAGAAAACCCAAGAAGTTTAGACCAGAGAAGGATTTTAGAAGTTAGGTTAGAAGTTTCTTCTGAAATGCCTTTGGATACTAAGAGCATGTGTTTCTCATCTGATCCAGCCATCTATTAGTGAGGAGGCGGTTGCCCTGACTGAGATGGACCGATGGGCAGCAGAGGTGGGCTTGGCCCAGGACTCCTAGCTGTCAGCACGTGGGCCAACATTGGCGCCAGCTTTAACACTCCAGCTCCAACACCTGTGTCTGTCTCTGTCCTTTCTCTCCCAGCCACTCCTTCCAGGGGCTGAACACCAGGTGCAGGCTCTCCTGAGCAGGTATGGCCCGGGAAAGCTGTACCAGGTGACAACCAACATCAGCGGGGCTGGGACTCTGGACCTGACTTTGCCTCGGGGCCACATCGTAGCCCTCCTTCAAGACAAGGACACCAAAGGCAACGGCAGCCGATGGCTGGTGGACACCGGAGGTACGTGGGACTTCATGGGCACTTCCCCGCCCTTTGGGAAAACTGTCCAACAGGAGCCAGTGGGGAGACATAGGCACTCTTGTGGGCAGGGGTCGCATGATATGCCAAAAAGAGAAATTCAGTCTTACATTGCAATATCCATTATCAAGCACCTACTGTGTGCTGGGTGCTGTGTAAGGAAGACAAAGATCTGCCTTGGGGACCTCACAGATCATTTGTGTAGACAGAGTTGTGTGGAGTGAACTCAGCATCACCTTGAAGGATGGAGAAGGGATGGAGATACGCAGAGAAGTGACGTTTAGATCCTGACTGTGTGGACAGAAGTCTGACATCCAGAACAAGGGAGGTGTTATCCTGTTCCCTCTGCGCTGGTCATGTCCCTGGGTGTGCTGCTCAGATGTAGGGGCCCCAGGAGGGAGCAGGGCAGGGGGCAAGGAGCACCATGAACCCAGGAGGAGAAGGCCCAGCAGAGTGTCTTCCACAGAGGGGCACGTGACCCACAAGATGAGGGTTACACAGGATTATTGGGAGGGGATCTGCCGACAGTTTTTCCCCCTTCAGACATTTTATTTTAATTCAGTATTTTAATGTGTATTAGAAAAAATATAACTAGTACAGAAACCCATGATTTTATTCATTATTATATAGTACAACACTAAGTTTTAAAAAGTGAGTTTATTAAAATAAGAGATGGTACAAATCTGGCAAGAATCATGAAAGGGTAAAATCCTAACTCAAGTTGAAAAACAGCTGAATGGGGATTAAAACAAGGTCCTTGGGGTCAAGAGGACCAGGTTTGGGCCCCAACTCTGCACTGTACTAACTGCATGATCCTGGAGGAGTTATGGAGCCTCTCTGAGCTCGGTTGGCTCAGCCATACAATGGAGATAACAACACGGACCTCGAGAGTTGATGGAAAGACTAGGTGATCAGATGCCGGTTCTGGCACCAAGCAAGCTCTCAGGAGGTGATGGCCATTCACAGTGACAGCAACCAAAGCACCACTGGAGCAGCTGTTACACGAGAAAGAACTGGGGGCACTTGGAGAAGAGAAAGGCAATTTCTGCCTCCTGGGAAAGGCAGTCCTGCGGTGAGGAAGTGGCCTTGCTTGGAAAGGAGACCAGTGGTGCCAGCACCAGGAAAATAGTTTTCATACCAGTCCGAGGAAGAACTTTTTTTTTTTTTTTCCCGAGGAAGAACTTTTTATCTCTGCCAGAGCTGTTCCAAATGGAGTGGGCTGCCTCTGCGGGGAATGAGCTCACTGTCACTGGGGTGAACAAGCAGAAGCTAGAAAGAGTGAGTGCAGGGTGTGGGGGTGGGGGCAGTTTGTGAGGTTCCGAGATAACCTTCTGAGTCCATTTTAGTGTGAAGAAGCTGTATTGGAGATATTCACATCCATGAATGGTGGCGGCTTCCTCTACCTCTGAAAGGGATGGGCAGTGTGATCCACAGCCAGATAACGTTCTGTGTGTCCTGCAGGACATCGAGGGTACGTGCCAGCTGGGAAACTGGAGCTGTACCACGTGGTCCCCCGTGAGGAGGAGCTCAGAGGGCACGCGAGGCCTCATAGGGACTCCCAACGTCAGACACCAGAGCCCACCTTGGCCCCCGTCCCTTCTGTCCCAGCAGTGACCCAGGTGAGCCTGGAAGAGGGAGGGGGGGTTCACATCCCCATGGCCACCTGGAGTGGGGCTTTGATTTTCCTCCTGTCCAGAGGGGCTACCACCCTGTGAGGCCAGGGCCTCGGTCAGTGGCCACACCAGTGTCCTGGCCAGGGTGGGGCATGGAGAAAGGAGCCTCTTGTCCTTGCCACATCAAGAGCAGGGAGTTAATCCCTCGCTCCCCATTAGCAGAGCACGTGGGATTATTTCGTTCATTCGTTTGTTCATGCATTTGTTCATTTATTCAGTATTCACCAGGCACTGTGCTAGATAAGAGATGCAGTGATGAGCAGAAGCCAACCTTGGCCCTTGCCTTCCTCAAATTTATAATCTGGGAGGTGGGGAAAACAGCGATTAATAAAATAATCATATAAATAATCACAGTTCTATTAGTGCTAAGTGCCAGAGCCTTAGGTATGGGAGAGGTTCAGGGAAGGTCTTTCTGAGAAGCATCATGCTTTTGCTCAGATTTGAAGGGTGGTTGGGAAGTAATTGGATAAAGGGTTGTGGATGGGAAGAGCTTCCCCAAAAGCATGCCCAGCGAATGCAAAGGCCCAGGGCCGGGAAGGACAGGGTGAGTGAGGAATTGAGTGGAGCCAGTGGGGCTGGGACGGTGAGGGCGGTGGGCTGGAGAGGTGGGTGGGGCTAGCCAGCAGGGCCTGTGGCCTTGGTGAGGGTGTCGGCTTTCCCTTAAAAGCCATGGGAGGAGGGCTTCCCTGGTGGCGCAGTGGTTGAGAGTCCGCCTGCTGATGCAGGGGACACGGGTTTGTGCCCACATGCCGCGGAGCGGCTAGGCCCATAAGCCATGGCCACTGAGCCTGCGCGTCCGGAGCCTGTGCTCCGCAACGGGAGGGGCCACAACAGTGAGAGGCCCGCGTGCCGCAAAAAAAAAAAAAAAAAAAAGCCATGGGAAACTTGTACATGCATGTTCGTCGCAGCATTATTCATAACAGCCCCAAAGTGGAAACAACCCATGTCCATCAACTGATGAAGGAATAAACAAAATGTGGCACATCCACACAATCAAATATTATTCAGCCATAAGAAAGAATGAAGTGCCGACACATGCTACCACATGTAGCTCGGTAGAGAAGGCCATGTAATGTATGATTCTCTATACAAAATGTCCTGGATAGACAATTGCATAGAGACAGAAAGTAGATCAGTGGTTGGCAGAGGCTGGAGGCAGGGGGAATGGGAAGTGACTGCTAAGTGGTCTAGGGTCTCTTTTTGAGATGATGAAGATGTTCTGGAATTAGATAATGGTGATGGTGGCATAACCTTGGGAACATGTTAAAAACTACTTTATTGTACACTTTGAAAGGGTGAATGTATGCATGTGAATTATATCTCAAAACAAAAAGTGCTGGGAAGGCTTTTTGGGGCAGAAGCTTAGTGGGGTCGCTGTGAGGGCTGATTGAGGTAGTTAGCTGGCTGGCACATGTGAGCCTCAGTAAATGGAGGCTGCGCTCACAGTTATAAAGGAGGAGCTTCACAGCTGATGGATGAACAACAGAAAGGACCCAGACTGAGGGGTGGGAGCCCAGAGGCTTGCAGTGAATAGCCAGGGGATGCCGCAGGCCAGGGTGGCTGGGGGAGCCTGGAGTGGGCTGCAGGAGGGCTGCATAGAAGCCTGCGGAAGCTGTGAGGTACAGCTGTGGCACATGCTGGGAAGGCTCTCAGGGCAGTGCCGGGAGCCTTAGCTAGAAGTGGTACACCAGGGCTGCCTCCTGTTGGACATACCCACCCATCAGCAAAGAACCCACAAGGATCCCACCAGAGAGCCTGGCCACCCAACTCAGTCCCAGTGGCCGCCAGTGTGGGTAGTGTCCCGGAACACCCGCCCAGGGGCTCATGTGGTGAGCTCAGCCGTCCATCTGCCCAGACACAGCAGCCGCTTCCTCTTTGGTCGTGGGGCTGCTCAGTGGGACTCACATGGGGTCATCCCAGTTCCCCCTTGCCCCTGATTGTTCCTAAGCCTTGGCACACAGTAGTAAAAGTCATGGTAAAAATAGCAAAAGCAGCCTGCATTTGTTGAGCCCTTACTATGTACCAGGCACAGACATCCAGTCATTAAATTCCCACAATTACCTGGAGGGAAGGATATCATTACTTCCATTTCACAGATGATGAGAATGAGGCCCAGGGAGGTGAAATATCAGCCTAACAAATGCCCTCTCCTCCAATTTTGTTTGCCTTTCAACAAAGTCACCTAACCTCCTTCCTGTCTCTGCTCCAAGCTGGGAAACTGGCCTGGGCAGATGACACCCTTTGATCTGAGGAGGGTGGTGGGGAAGAGATGCTGCGTCCCCTGCTCAGTGAGATGGCAGCAGTGGACTGAGAGCACCCCTTCTGAGGTCAGACAGGCCAGCTTCACTGCTCTGTGATTTTGAATAAGTTCCTTGACTTCTCTGAGTCTCAATTTCCTTATCGGAAGAATGGGGCAAACAGAATTATAGAACTGTGAAAATCAAAACCAGGCAGAGAGCCTGCCACATAGTAGCTATTAGCAGTGGGAGTAGCAGAAGCAGCCCATGGCTTTGGACAAAGGATGTATTTGGGAGGCAATGACTGCTCAGGGATGGGGACTGAGTCGGGTGGGAGGGAAGAGGATAAACAGCTTCTCTAGGTCAGGTTTGTCTGTCCTCCCACCCTGACCATTTCTGTGTCGCTCCCTATGTGTTTCAGGTGGTGGCAGTGTACCCCTTTGTGGCCAGAAGCAGCCATGAAGTGAGTCTGCAGGCAGGCCAGCAGGTGACTGTCCTGGAGGCCCAGGACAAGAAGGGGAACCCAGAATGGAGCCTTGTGGAAGTGAACGGACAGAGGGGCTATGTGCCTTCCAGCTTCCTGGCCAGGGCCCCAGGTCCAGCTCTGTGGGGCTGGAGTCTGCCCTCTTAGGGTGCCCTCCTTGGAGCCCTTGTTCCAAGAGGCTTAGAGGCTGTGACCCTGGGAGGGAAAAGAAGCAAAGAGAAGGTGGGGGTGGATGGGGAAATCAGGCCAGGGTGGGGTGAAGGGCACCCAGAAGGCAGCCAGGAGAGGTAGGTGGGCCTTGCAGAGTGCCTGGCGTGGGTGGACATGAAAGGCTCCAACCAGGACGGCTCATTATGTCTGCATGAAGAGGGCGTTCCAACCTGAGTCACAACACCTGGGATGGCAGGACTTGCTTATGGCCAATCTTACCTGTGCCCCGTCTGGTCCTGCCCATGGGAGTGGGTCACCCAGGTGAGCTTTACCTGTGCGCTGTGTGGTTGCATGGAGGCACACTGGAGAGTCCAGAACCGCCTGACCTGGCAGTTCACTTCCTTCCTGTGGTATAAAGAGATACAACAGCCGGCCAGTCAGCTTTTATTTCTCCATGCTGGAAGCTGAATTATCTTGGGCAATGAACCCCTGGGAGCCCTCTCTAGCAGGGGAATGAGGGCTTGTCGGGGCAGTGGAGAGGTTCCCAGGAGACTTTTGGCTGGGCTAGTGAGTAGGTGTGAGCAAGTCACGATTCTGGAATGTGTTAAGGCAAATGCAGAGGCTGCTCCAGGGAAGAGGGGATTTTTGAGGGTGTGTTAGGTGGGGTGTGTGAGGCTGTTAGCAGCAGTTGTATACTGCTGCTGTGTTCTCTGGATTAGGAGACAGAGGGGTATGCAAGTCATAGAGGAAACTCTGTGAAGCAGGTAACTAAAGGCCTGGTGGGTGGGTAATGACTTGGTTTCCTGTTTCTGGAAGAAGGGGAGCCAGTGGAACCCCCAGTGGTTTCAGGAGGCTGCTGAGGGCTTGGAGGCAACAGTGGAGGTGATGTCAGTTGGCTGTGGCCCCTCAGACATAGGACACAACCTCAGTTTTCCCATCTATAAAGACCTAACTCATAGGCTTGTGGTGAGAATGATATGATGCTAAGGATGTGGAAGCTCCTTGCAAGTCATTAAGTGTGATATAAATGTAAATTGCAGGATGTCTAGGAAGTGGTCTCAGGATGGCCCCAGCCATCGGCTGGCCGCTCACCATGCCCATGGCCATGATGGACATTATTAATCACTGTGGCATCCTTTCCCATAAACCCAGGATCCCTCCCAACGCTGCAATATAGGTAACCAAACTCTTGAACTTGGTGAGATCAAACTTACTGTCATCCCTTTCTAGAACTTAGAAATTGAAGCCCCTCAAAACAGTTCCTGTTCAAGGAAGACTGACCGCTGGGGCGAATTTGGGTGCAACCGCTATTGGATCATCACCTCTAGGTTGTAACTTGGGGCTCACATAAATTGCAAGATTCACAGGACAGGGAAAAGGTGATCCATTGTAACTTTTAAAACAAATTACAGATCGTTTAAAAATATATTACAGAGAGGGCAGAGTCAAGATGGTGTACTAGGAGGACGCGGAATTCGCGTCTCCTCACAACTAGGGCACCTACCAGGCACCAGTGGGCGACCACGGACATCTAAGGGGATGGGAGGAACCTACAGTGACCGGGTAGGACGTGGGACATGAGGGGAGTGAAGGGGGAGGAGAAGTGGAGGCTGGAGGGGACTGGCACCCCTGAGGGGCGGCGGGGGAGGGGAAGGGATCCCATACCCAAAGAGGGAAACTGGGGAACCATTGGGAGGGCAGAGGATCAAAAGGGAGCATGGCCAGGTTTCCCCTACCCACTTAGGCCCCCAGGAACGTGCTGAGATTCTGGGCCTGATCCTCTGCCCACCGAGGACCCCTCCAGCCACGTGGGTCCTGAGGGAGTGGGAGAGAGGAAAGGGGGAGAAAAAGGCCAACCTCCAGGACCAGCACCCCTGAAGGATGGCTGAGGGAGGGGAGGAGTTCCTACACCCAGCGGGACCCACCCATGGTTAGGGGTCCAGCGGCGACGGGGGAGACCCTGGGGGAGATGGTGGGGTAGGAGTGTGAAGGAACGGAAGGGAACGTGGTCAGTTGGAGCCCTGTTGGGCTCCCGGGCCTAATCCTCTGCCCTTGGAGCCTCCCTCCTGCCGTGCAAAGCCAGAGCCCTGGCCCTACAACCCCACCCAGGGCCCTACCTCTACACTCAGAGACCCCGTCCAACACGCTGGGCCTAAACCCCACCCACACACCCTCACTCAGGGCCCTACCCCCAAACTCTGGAACTCCACATTCCAGAGGCCACCCTTTCCACGTGCTGCCTCTCCCCTCTGCTCAGGTCCTAAGCAGAGGCCCCGCCCCATGCTTGAACGGCGCCACGCTACCTGCCTAGGTTCCACCCCACCCTAAACCCCGCCCCTGCCTAAGTTCCACCCCCGGCTAAACTCTGCCCCCATAGCCAAGGCTTTATTTTTTTTTTCCTCTTTTAGATTGGGGTTCTGTTTTACCTTGTTGATTCATTATTTTTCCTAATATATTTTTTATCTTTATAATTTTATTTTGTTTTTTATTCTTTGATCTTGTACTGTGCCTTTTTTTTTTTTACCACACCATGAAGCTTGTGGGATCTTGGTTCCCAGGCCGGAAGTCGGGCCTGAGTTCCTGTGGTGGGAGCTCTGAGTCCAAACCGCTGGACTAACAGAGAACCTCAGACCCCAGGAAATATCAATTGGAGTGAGGCCTCCTGGAGGACCTCATCTCAGCACCAAGACCTAGCTCTATCCAACTGCCTGCAAACTCCAGTGCTAGACGTCTCAGGCCAAACAACCAGTAAGACAGGAATAGAGCACCACCCATCAAAAAAATCCAAAAAATGAAATAACAAAAAAATATGTCACAGATGAAGGAGCAAAGTAAAAACCTACAAGACCAAATAAATGGAGATGAAATAGGCAACCTACCTGAAAACAAATTCAGAGTAATGATAATAAAGACGATCCAAAATCTCAGAAAAAGAATGCAGGAAATACAAGAAACATTTAACAAGGATCTAGAAGAACTAAAGAGCAAATAAACAGTGATGAACAACACAATTACTGAAATTAAAAATACTCTAGAAGGAATCAATTGCAGAATAACTGAAGCAGAAGAACAGATAAGTGAGCTGGAAGATAAAATGGTGGAAATAACTGCCAGGGAGCAGAGTAAAGAAAAAAGAATGGAAAGAATTGAGGACAGTCTCAGAGATCTCTGGGACAACATTAAATGCACGAACATTCGAATTATAGGGGTCCCAGAAGAAGAAGAGAAAAAGAAAGGGTCTGAGAAAATATTTGAAGAGATTATAGTCGAAAACTTCCCTAACATGGGAAAGGAAATAGTCAATCAAGTCCAAGAAGCACAGAGCATCGCATACAGGATAAACCCAAAGAGAAACACGCCTAAACCCAAAGAGAAACACGCCAAGACACATGTTAATCAAACTATCAAAAATTAAATACAAAGAAAAAATATTAAAAGCACCAAGAACAACAGCAAAGCAACAAAAACATACAAGGGAATCCCTATAATGTTAATGGCTGATTTTTCAGCAGAAACTCTGCAAGCCAGAAGGGAGTGGCGGGACATATTTAAAGTGATGAAAAGGAAAAACCTACAACCAAGATTACCCAGCAAGGATCTCATTCAGATTCAATGGAGAAATTAAAACCTTTACAAATAAGCAAAAATTAAGAGAATTCAGCATCACCAAAGCAGCTTTGCAACAAATGCTAAAGGAACTTCTCTGGGCAGGAAACACAAGACAAGGAAAAGACCTACAAAAACAAACCCAAAACAATTAAGAAAATGGTAACAAGAACATACATATCGATAATTACCTTAAATGTAACTGGATTAAATGCTCCAACCAAAAGACATAGACTGGCTTAATGGATACAAAAACAAGATCTGTACATATGCTGTCTACAAGACACCCACCTCAGACTTAGGGACACATACAGACTGAAAGTGAGGGGATGGAAAAAGATACTCCATGCAAATGAAAATCAAAGGAAAGCTGGAGTAGCAATTCTCATATCAGAAAATATAAACTTTAAAGACTATTACAAGAGACAAAGAAGGACACTACATAATGATCAAGGGATCAACCCAAGAAGAAGATATAACAATTGTAAATATTTACGCACCCAGCCTAGGAGCACCTCAATACATAAGGCAAATGCTAACAGCCATAAAAGGGGAAATTGACAGTAACACAATCATAGGGGACTTTCTAACACCCCACTTTCACCAATGGACAGATCGTCCAAAATGAAAATAAATAAGGAAACACAAGCTTTAAATGACATGTTCAACAAGATGGACTTAATCTATATTTATAGGACATTATATCCAAAAACAACAGAATACACTTTCTTCTCAAGTGCTCATGGAACATTCTCCAGGATAGATTATATCTTGGGTCACAAATCAAGCCTTGGTAAATTTAAGAAAATGGAAATCGTATCAAGTATCTTTTCCAACCACAACACTATGAGACTACATACCAATTACAAGAAAAAAAACCTGTACAAAATACAAACACATGGAGGATAAACAATACACTACTAAATAACCAAGAGATCACTGAAGAAATCAAAGAGGAAATCAAAAAATACCTAGAAAAAATGACAATGAAAACACGATGACCCAAAACCTATGGGATGCAGCAAAAGCAGTTCTAAGAGGGAAGTTTATAGCAATACAATCCTACCTCAAGAAACAAGAAAAATCTCAAACAACCTAACCTTACACCTAAAGCAAATAGAGAAAGAAGAATAAAAAAACCCCAAAGTTAACAGAAGGAAAGAAATCATAAATATCAGATCAGAAATAAATGAAAAAGAAATGAAGGAAACAATAGCAAAGATCAATAAAACTAAAAGGTGGTTCTTTGAGAAGATAAACAAAATTGATAAACCATTAGCCAGACTCATCAAGAAAAAAAGGGAGAAGACTCAAATCAACAGAATTAGAAATGAAAAAGGAGAAGTAATAACTGACACTGAAGAAATACAAAGGATCATGAGAGATTACTACAAGCAACTGTATGCCAATAAAGTGGACAGCCTGGAAGAAATGGACAAATTCTTAGGAAAGCACAACCTTCTGAGACTGAACCAGGAAGAAAGAGAAAATATAAACAAACCAATCACAAGCACTGAAATTGAAACTGTGATGAAAAATCTTCCAACAAACTGAAGTCCAGGATCAGATGGCTTCACAGGTGAATTCTATCAAACACTTAGAGAAGAGCTAACACCTATCC